TACTGGTGAAATCAAGAAAAGAGTAGGAGTAAGGCTGAGGTTTTACCTAGGGTCATAAGTGAGGACATAAGTGTTCTAGGTCATGAAGGATACTTAGTATTTCTGAAAAATCCTCCCAGTCATTTTTCTTCTAAATTTCTCTTCCTTCAGCAATAATATAAATTCAGTTAAATATTTAATACCATCTGTAATCAAGAACTATCAATAATAATTTTTAACATCTTTCAAACTATACCATGCTAATAACTTGATGTATGCTTTAGTCTGTATGACCTATTAATTGGCTCTATATTTTCATATATACAAAGATAGAGTGGTTTCTACTAGCAGGTCAAGAAGCAAACATTTCACTTATCTATTACCAATTTTTAAAATTGTACCTCTAGAGGCACCTGAGTGGCTCAGTCAGGTAAGTGTCTGACTCTTGGTTTTGGGTCAGGTCATGATCTTGAGGTTCATAAGTATGAGTCCCACATTGGGCTCTGGGCTGACAGCATGGAGTCTGCTTGGGAGTCTCTCCTCTCCCTCTCTCCCTCTGCCCCTAGCTTGCTCTCACTTGCTCTCTCTCAAAATAAATAAATAAACTTAAAAAAAAGGAATCTTTAAAAAAATAAAATAAAATAAAATTGTACCTCTAAAAATACAAGTGGAGCATTTTTATACTGTTGAACAACATCCAACAAGAGGAATTTAAATCATAATAAAAATGATGGCAAGTAACACAGTCTTACATTACAAGAAAGCAAAGGCAGGCATCAGGCACATATTACTTGAGTGAATATGGCTGATGACATATTTTATGTGATATATATCCTATATAATTTGTATTATTGTTCTTCTTAATAATGCAAATTTAAAAATATTTTTGAAGAAGTAAAATAATCAAATACTTTGAATCTGTTTAATCTTATGGAATTTAATTCAATCACTTGTTTTTCTTTCTATGTGAATGCTGTATACAAATAGAAATTAATTTAGGAAATTGAAATCTTTTAGATTCTTGGATTTCAAAACTTTTTGACTATGAATCAAATGTGAAATTCTTATTGGTCTTATAAAAATGCAATGTATTTACAAAATTTAAAATATTGAATGAAAGTTCATGAAGTAATACTTAACCTATTTAGAGTTTATTCCAATATATTTTATTCAGTGTCATGATGATCCATCTCTACTTACTCTATTCTATTCTATTCTATTCTATTCTATTCTATTCTATTTCTTTTTGTAATGCTAAGAATAATACTGATTCCTTTTTTCCATATTACTAATGGGCCACAACCAGCAGTTTGGAAAACACTACCTTATTAAAATAAGTATATTTAATAAGTATATTAAAATAAGTATATTTTAATTACATACTGAACTACATATATATCAAATTATATATATTACTCATTTAGAATGTTAATCCATTAGTGATATAAACACTTTCAATTATCAAGGAAAGAACTGTAAGTCATGGCTAAAATACGAAAAAATTTACGTAAATCAAGTTATATATCTTGACAACTTTAGACACACAGATGCATTAGATCTCTTATGTTGTTGTAACTCATCTCTATGCCAGTTGTCTCTTCAATGTACTGATACATTACAAATAATATTTTAGACTATTCATCCATGCTAAAAATCCTTATGCAACATATGTTCTTTATAATTTATGTTTATAAACTGTCTTTTTCTGCCATTCTTCGAACCTCTGCTATTCCACCTCACCACAATAAGCACAGAACATTTCAGCAAATGTATGCTTTGCTCTTTGAAAAGGTGACTGAAACTAATCTAAAGACTTATATAAACAGTTAATAACTTTTTCACTAGGACACAATGTTCAAAGGTTATAACCTATAAATGCCAAGTTTATTTCATAAGTAGTTTTATAGTTTATCCATGCTGAGAGACTTGGGAGGACATGGATTTCCCTGAAAGAGTTTAGAGCTTCTAACTTCTCTGATCAATCTTTGTGGATTCAACCATTATTCACTCATCTAGATCATAGACATATCTATGGGCTTCAAATGATAATTTTGCATTTCCACCATAGGAGGCATCATGAAATAACTATCGAAAGCAGTGTTTCTTGTGAATATTATTAAAATGGACAGAAATTGACAGCTTATGTTCACCCATCATAGGTGCTCAATGACTAATGTTCAATATAAATGGATTCCCATTAGCTTTGTATTTTCTCCAATACCCATATTGGAAATTCATTTAAACTTATAGAAACCTCTGCTGTATGCATTTGCATCATATCTTCTTTGACAGCAGATTTTCACTAACAGTAATAAAAGTAAATATTTTAAAAGACTTTTCAGCAAATAATGTTAATACACATTCCAGAACAAGTGCCTATACAAATAATAATTGTATTAGTAAATACAAAAAAAAGAAAGTGTCTTTATCTGCATATTTTCTAATTTAAAAAAATCAAATGCCAAAGTTAAATTTTGTGCCTGCTTATTTGTCATGCTATTACTAAGTTTGGTTTAAATATAATTCTAAATAATTTTAAACACTTGATTATAATTTTTGACATATGAATTATTTGTCCAAGATAATGTACATGTATAAATTGTCTTTTACAGTAAATTTAGATAAAATTTATTGCAGTAGTCTAGTTATGTTACATTATCATCACTCTTACTGCCACCTTTAATGTTTTGAAAACAAAAGAGCAATGTGGAATGTTCCTTTGTCAATATTCTTCTGTTAATTTATTACAAATCAAGTTAATTTGCTTAACATTGGATATTAAAGTTAAGAATTAAATTTTCAATACAAACTTTAAAATAATAACAGAATTCATTTTAAGAGAAAATAATTATATTCTGGTAATTATGAGCCAATTTTTCCATTGTGGCTGTGTATAGTAAGTATGCTTTGATTTCCTTATCCAGGTAGAATTCTTTAGTAAACTGTATTTATTCCTAACAGTAGTAGGAGAAGATACTAAATTAAAGTGATGTTCTGTTATGATCAATAGGCCCATAATTATTAAAAGTCAATAATACATATTATTCCAATTGTGTGCTTTACTCTTGATAAAGAAAATAACCCACTTTCAGGTGCCAATATTTTTTTAAAAATTTAATTTGGGGTTCCTGGGTGGCTCATTTGGTTAAGCATCCAACTTTATCTCAGGTCATGATCTTGCAGTCCGTGAGTTCGAGCCCCACGTCAGGCCCTGTGTTGACAACTCAGAGCCTGTTTCGGATTCTGTGTCTCCCTCTCTCTCTCTGCCCATCCCCTGCTCATGCTCTGTCTCTCTCACTCTCAAAAATGAATAAATGTTAAAAAAAAGTGTTAAAAAATTAATGAGATCAAAGTTCTTTAGTGTCAAATGAAGATGCTGAAGCATTTTGTTGAAGAATAACTCACTTAAAAGTGCATAAATTCTATGTCATATACCTTGGTACAGGTCGACAAATTGAACACATCTATGTAGCCAGTTCTTAAATTGAAAAACAGAAAATTATCACCCATAAGGCTCACATCATGCTTTCTTCCAGAACTATCCACTACTGCTCATCATCACACTGCAAGAGTAACTACTATCTCCATTTATGACACTGGATAACTTCTTTATGCACTTCCTAAGATCGAATCTGCTGTTCAATAGAAACTATTAGATTTATTGGGGGAGGGGGTGATGCCTATTCATGTCTTCTGCCCATTTTTAGTTGCATTATTCATTTTTAAAAACTCCATTTAAATTCCATTTAGTTAGCATTTGGTGTAATATTAGATTGACATATACAATTTAGTGATTCAACACTTCCATACAACAGCTGGTACTCATCACTACAAGTACACTCCTTAATCCTCATCATCTATTTAACTCATCACTCTACTCCCCCTCCTCCCTGGCAACCATCAGTTTGTTATTTATAGTTAACAAGTCTGTTGCTTGCTTTGCCTCCCTTTATTTTAGCTTATGATTGTTTTGTTTGTTAAATTCTACATAGGAGTGAAGTTATATGGTATTTGCCTTTCTCTGACTGACTTATTTTACTTAGCATGATACTCTTTAGCTCCATCCACATTGCTGCAAATGGAAATATTTTATTCTTTTTATGGTTGAGTAATATTCCATTGTATGTATATACTACTTCTTCTTTACCCATTCATCAGTTGATGGACACTTGGGCTGTTTCCATAATCTGACTATAGTAGACAATGCTGTTATATATAACATATCCATGTATCCCTTTGAATTAGTACTCGTGTATACTTTGGGCAAATACCTAGTGATGCAATTTCTGGATCATAGAGTTAAAGATGTAAATGTGATAACCTGAAACCGTGAAAATCCGAGAAGAACACGGGCAGTAACCTCTTTGACATTAGCTGTAGCAACTTCTTTCTGGATATGTCTCCTGAGTCAAAAGAAACAAAAGCAATAATGAACTACTGGGACTTCATCAAGATAAAAAATTGCACAGGGAAGGAAACAATCAACAAAACTAAAAGGAAACCAGTGGAATGGGAGAAGATATTTGCAAATAACATATCTGATAAAGGATTTGTATTCAAAATATGTAAAGAACTTATCAAACTCAACACCCAAAGATGAATAATCCAAATGAAAAATGGTCAGAAGACGTGAATAGACATTTTTCCAAAGAAGACATCGAGATGGCTAACAGACATTTGAAAAGATGCTCAACATCACTCATCATCAGAGAAATGCAAATCAAAACCACAATGAGATATCACTGCACACCACTCAGAATGGCTAAAATTAACAACACAAGAAACAACAGGTGTTGCTGAAGATGTGGAGAAATGGGAATCCTCCTTGCACTGTTGGTGGGAATGCAAACTGATGCAGCCACTCTGGAGAACAATATGAAGTTTCCTCAAAAAAGTTAAAAATAGAACTACCCTATGACCCAGCGATTGCACTCTAAGTATTTATCCAAAGAAACTATTGGATTTTAAACTGTGTTGACACTTGTGTTGACAACTAAATGCTATTATTTTTCATTGAACAGGTCCGAAGTGGTACCCTTCTAGAGTTGGCCTGCAGCTAGAACGAGGTAAGAATCAAATTTCATTGATCTATTTATTTAATTTGGAATCCCTTTTCTCTCATCAATAGCTAATATTTATTTATCACTTACTAAATGACAGGCATTGTAATAAGTGCAGTAAATCAATTATATCAATTGATTCTCCCAATAAGCTAGTGCTCCATTTTTATGGATGAGGAATTTTAGTCTCAAGAAGATAATTTTCACATATTCACTGTCAACATGCATTGGATGCAGGATCTGAACTAACATCTTTCTATCTCGAAAAGTTTTACTGCTTTTTTCTCTCATCCTACTACCTCCTAATAGGTTCTCAGGGATACTGGCCAGCAATTTCTTTTTCTCTCTTTCTTTTTTTCTTTTTCTTTCTTTCTTTCTCTTATTTTCTACTTAAAGCAAAATAAATGAGGTAATGAGGAGCAGAAATGAATTAATTTTGGGGAAAATATTATATCCAGTATTAAGCCTCAAGTTTCTCAAACTGTCAAATCCTATTTTCCATTCAGAAAATTTATAAATAGATACACTTAAAAGTTAGCTCTCTTAAGAATCATTGTAATTAACATTACATCAACTTGATCTTAAATTTGGACTTGTTCAAGAAGAGCTGTTATAAGTTTTAGAAAATACTTACTTGAAGTCAATTATAATAAATCTACAATACACATCTGTTAAGGAATTTCAATCTCTAATTATTTTACACTGTAATGAACGGCCTTCTTTTTTTCTTCCTTGTACTTTTGCTAATATTCAGGCCATCTTTTCTCTCATATTACCATTACTCAAGGACAAATGATTATTTCTTTGGATCTAAGCTGTCGTGTTTGCTTTCATTGTTTCTTAGATATTACACCTTTCTTTGAAACCTCTATGCTGAAAACATAGGAATACATGGTATTCTTGGAAGGCACACTTTCCTGATGGTCCCAAATTCTTCCAAGCTCAAATGTCCAAGACAAATTCCTAGAGTCTAAAAGAGAAGACTCATTATCTTGTTTATTTTTGCCTCTGCAGAGCCTAATATATGCTGAGCATATAAATGTAGTTCAACACATAGATGTTAAGTAATATAAAATTATATAGTGATATTGTTTTCTGAACTTGACTAGTATATAATGATAACTCTAGAATGCCACAGGCATCAATGTAAAATATAACTCAGTTTGAAGAACACTATAAGGAATTGGAATTTCTGTTAGTTCAACCTTCCTGGTGAATGTGACTTTTTACTTTCTCCTCACATGTATTTACTTGATTTCTCCTCACATACATTTACAGGGTATAATCTAAATGAAATATAGCCATTAAGTGTCCTTGAATAAAAGTATGCTGTCATATTTGAAAAAAAGAGTCAATTAATTTAGCAGGCTAAGCAAGATATGGTAGAAAGAAGTTGTTTGAAGTAATGCAGAATTTTAAACCTTTTATTTAACTATCTATAGGATCTTTTCTTTTGTAAAGGGGAGCTAATAAAGAACCAAACTTATGGTTTGGTTTTTGTTTTATAAGTGTTGAATAAGATTATGTTTATAAAGCACTATCATGGTTGGCATATGGTAGATGCTTTATCAATCAGTTATAGCTGATTGATGTTATAGCTATTAGTATTAAGGAAATAAAACTTAACACTGAAACAAAGCAGGTCCTCAATATTTACCTATATTTCCTGCTAGAATATATTTGTCAGAATACTTGTACTGTGAGCAATGACATCGTGTAAATTTAGTCTTTTACAGTTTCATCACACAAAAGACACCATAAAAACTAAAGAAAATAATAAACATTGCTTTTTGTGGGCAAAAGAGCAAATATTTATTTAGCTTGGGGGTTGTGCTGAGCTGAGCTGGACTTGGCCTTACTTGTGTAGGTTCACTCAATCAGCTGTCGTCAGCTGGTAGGTTCTTGGTGACTGTCTGGTCTAGGTTGGTCATAACTTCAGCCAATCAAATCCTCTCTACTCTATGTGGTTTCTCAGGCTTCAGTGGAATATTATGAGCTTGTTCTCATGGTGGAATCAGGGGTACAAACAAATGAATACAAGAACTCAAGGACTGTTTAGGCCCAGGCTTGGAAGTGTCACATGATCTTTGCCCTACATTGTTAGCTAAAGTGAGTGACTAGGCTAACCTATATTCAAGGAAGTGGGGAAATGGACACCAAGTCTTAATAAGAGATACTAAAACTCATATTGCAAATGGTGCAGATATGGGAATGGTAAAGAACTCTGATTTCTGTAATAAATCTGTCATACAAATTGGTAACTAAAATGTGTTCTCTCTTCTTACCTTGATTAATATACTTAATAATGTTCTGGAAGCACAGAGTTAAATTTCCAAGCCTTAAAATTATTGGATTTCTACAATAGAGAGGTGAAGAGTTAGCCCTGTCCTTCCCATTGCTGGCTCCAATCATCCACACCCTTTATACAACAGCTTTGAAAAACCCCTAGGTACATACCCTAGATTCTGGTCCACTTTGGGAAGAAATGCCCAAGAAAGATGATTTGTTTAAATTAATTTGGGCAGGAAATTCAGGGGCCTTAAGTGGCTGAAGCATGATATATGCTGAAACATGATACAGACAGCATCAGCTCCTGTTTTAGGCATATTTTCTTGGCCCTACATATTCCTCTCCCTTTGGAAAACATACATAGACATAGAAGGCCAGGGGCAAAGTTCCTGGATTACTTAGTCTGAGTCGCATTATTAATGATATTCCTGGATTTTCTCGATTCCTTCTATTCAAATGTCATATTGATGGGACAACATTTTAAAAATATGCCAATAAAAAATAAAAATAATAAAAAATATGCCAATGCTCTGTTCCTTGAAGTCATCAAGTGATACAGGAGTGGAAATGAATCCCCTCCTCAAAGGTGACAATACATAGATGTATGTTGTAAAGATGTTTTCAGCATTTTTTTTGGTGTTACAAGGCTATCATATTCTTTTGTTCCAATTAACATTTCTTGTTGTCATACATGATTGTCAAGATATTATTGACCATTTTTATACCAGTCTTTACCTTGATCTATGTTGCATTAAATTCCTACTGCTGTGTAACAAATTAAAATTAACACTCATTTATTAGCTTGAAGATACAGTATGGCTGGCTTCTCTGCTCAGAATATCACAAAGCTGATCAAGGTATTGGTTGAGCTGAATTCTCATCTCAAGACTTCTAGAAAATTCTATTTCCATCTTCATTCTTGTTTGAAGAATTCACGTTGTTTTGTGGTTGTATGACAGAGGTTCCTATTTCCTGGCTAGTTGTTACATCCTATAGGCCATTTCAGTTCCTAGAGACTATTTGCATTCTTGCCATGTGGCCCTCTCCATCTTCATTCCAGAAATCTTTCTAGTACTTTATTCCTAGTACTCTAGTACTTTGAACCTGAATTCCTTTCTCTTATCTATTCATGTAGATTTAAATAATACATGATTAACTCAGACTCACTTGAATAATCTCTCTTATGAAGCCACATAACATAACCTGATCAAGGGAATGATAGCCTATTGTATTCATATTGGATTTATCAAATACAATATTCAAAATTAGTATATATCAATTATATATTTTATCTTACTTTAAGATACCTGTAATTACAAATCAATGTATTGGATTCTGAAAATAATCTAAAATAGTCATAAATTAACATTCAATGTGTCTTGCAAAAAAGAGAATGAAATAACACTTTTCCATGACTGAGGATAATATAAATCACAAATAGACTAGCATAAATAATAATATAAACAAAACAACAACAATGGCAATAATAATTGCATTATACTTATGAGATTAGTCTAGCTCTAGTGTATTTTCTGTATAGTACATCTTTGAATAAAATAAATTATATTTACCATTATCTTTTTATGAACATTTAAGTCTTTGCAATTGTTTTGCAATTATAAATAATTCTAATAAGAATATCTTTGTATATATCTTTTAGTACACACATGCCAGACTTATCTAGTGTCTATTATTAAGAAGGGAACATTTCCTTTACATGTCTTCTAAGACATCAGTTCTGTTTATTTTCCTCCTATTTCATGAGAAACTCCAAGTAATCTTTGCTGTATGTTTCTGTTACTACTTTGAAAGCCTGGAATGCTAGAAACCTGTCTTAGTTTCCATTCTTTTTCCAAACTGAATACATAAATAATCTCATCAAGCAGCGTGGCTTTAAATGTTAATGACTTTCAAATATCTACAGACATACTTATCCAACTGCTTATTTGACAGCTCCTACTTGAATGTCTAATAAATATCACACACTTAACATGCCCTAACGTAAATCTTAATTTCTACCCCCAAATTATAATGCACCTAAATGCTCAGGCCAAAATCTAAGAGCTGTCTTTATTTCACTGATATACTCTCCTCTCAAGTTGAACCTGCTCTATGTTCAAAACAGATCTAAAATTGATGCATTTTTAACATTTCTATCAGTGCCATCTTAATCCATAAAGTCCCCTGCATGGGGCACCTGGGTGGCTCAGTCAATTAAGCATCCGACTTTGGCTCAGGTCATGATCTTGCACTTCATGGGTTCAAGCTCCGCATTGGATTCTGTGTTGACAGCTCAGAGCCTGGAGGCTGCTTCAGATTCTGTCTCCCTCTCTCTCTGCCCCTCCCCCACTCATTCTCTCTCTCTCTCTCTCTCTCTCTCTCTCTCTCTCTCTTTCTCTCTCTCTCTCAAAAATAAAGATAAAAAAAAAGTCCCCTGCATGATGAATTTGAATTCCTCCTAAGTAATCTTGCTTGCCCTTCCTCCTGGTTTCCACACAGCATCCATAGAGATCTTCTAAAACATATCATGTCACTCCACTAGTGCTTTGCGATGACCACTAAAATGTATTCACCCTAACTAATTTATCATATAATAAAAGCATTTAGAGAACAGTTGACATCTACGTCTACTGATACCTAAATTATACTATAAAAATACCTTGTATTAGATATAATTATGATACTGTCTAATATTACAGTTTCTCAGAACACAACAGGATAGTGGCAGATGGTGGTCTGAACTTTGTTTAGGTAGAGGTGGGAAACCACTGAACATTTGAAAAATTGCTGATATCGCTTATAAAATGGGTTTGTTCACATTTTATTTTACTTTATATATTCATAATACATTGAAATTTCTATGTATAATTTATCCTTTGCTTTTACATGTTTCACATTAAAAAATGTGTTTTTTTAAATGACTATACCTTGAAATTGTATTAAATTACTATTTCCTTATTATTTAAGGTGGGCCCTTTTTGAAGGACTACATAACCATTCAAAGCATTGCAACTTCCTCCATTGTCACTCTCTATTTTACAGACCTAGGTCAACAGGTCAGTTGGACTACAGTAAGTATCATTTTAAAATACAATATGCATGTCCCACATTTTGATAGGACAATTGTTATTAAATAAATTCATAATGAAACTAAATACTATACTGAATAGTACATTAAGTTTTCCATGCTTACTAGAATTAGTGGCCAAAATTTTACACAAGAATTAGAGCAATGGAAATACTTGATTGGAAAAACGAGGGCAAATTCTTTTTTTAAGTGTCAATCTACCCTAGGACTGATGGCCCTATTTCTGCTTCCTCTATGCTGTTAGTCAAATGGTGTTTCTTTGGCTCTTCCTTCTAGGAACCTGGGGATATGAAGACTTTTTTTTTTTAATTTTTTTTTTCAACCTTTTTTATTTATTTTTGGGACAGAGAGAGACAGAGCATGAACGGGGGAGGGGCAGAGAGAGAGGGAGACACAGAATCGGAAACAGGCTCCAGGCTCCGAGCCATCAGCCCAGAGCCTGACGCGGGGCTCGAACTCCCGGACCGCGAGATCGTGACCTGGCTGAAGTCGGACGCTTAACCGACTGCGCCACCCAGGCGCCCCATGACTTTTGATATTGGAAAGAGAGGAGATAGGATATTCAATAAAAAATGTTCTAAGGCAAGGGGAAGACATTTTGGAAAATCAGAATGAAGTAATGAGACATCTTTGAGTTAGGAGATTGTGGCACACTTTTGGTTCTCCTTGAAGGAGGAGCTTTCAAAGTGGTGGCAGCTGAATCCAATGGCATTATACGAATGAAAACTACATTAAAAGACATGTAGAACTGGAGTGCCTGGTTGGCTCAGTCAGTTAAGCATACGACTTTGTTCAGCTCAGGTCATGATTTTACACTCGTGGGTTCCATTCCCACATCAGGCTCTGTGCTGACAGCTCAGAGCCTCGAGCCTGCTTCAGATTCTGTGTCTCCCTCTCTCTCTGACCCTCCCCTCTCCACACACTCTGTCTCTGTCTCTCTCAAAAATAAAAAAAAAAAAAAAAACACATTAAAAATTTTAAAAAATGTTTAATTGTTTATTTTTTGAGAGACAGAGACAGACAGAGTATGAGTGGGGGAGGGGCAGAGAGAAAGGAAGACAGAATCTGGAGCAGGCTCCAGGCTCTGAGTAAGCTGTCAGCACAGTGCCTGACTCTGGGCTCAAACTTGCAAACAGCGAGATCATGACCCTAGCCAAAGTCAGACACTTAGCCAACTGAGCCACCCAGGTGCCCCTAAAAAAACATTTTAAAGACATGTAGGACTAAGAAACAGAGAACATACTTTAGCACTAGTTCACAAGCATTGAACTATTGATGAGTAGTGGAATAGATAGATGGAATAGCTTCAGTAGTAAGAGGAAATACTAGGGATATTTAGTGACAGAGGCAGTAAAAGAGTTAATTTGATAAATAATTTTGATACTGATATATAAAGAATAGTACAATCATTCTATTTTTCTATTCAATTATTTTATATTTTTTAGAATTTTAAAGGTTTTCTGATTACACTCTATTCCATATTTGTGATGTGACTGCATTTTTAATATTTTCTGTATTAAGATAGCTTTCCTTTTTACCATGATCAACAATCAACATTCAACATTCAACATTATCATCGGCAGTGCTTTAGTTTTCCCTTTAGAGTTAAACATTCTTTTTTTTTCCAGAAGAATGTAGTTTGATATTTATTTAGTATAAAAGGTTTGTGCACAGTGTAACAAATACAGTTTTTACAAATACGTTTTCAAAATGTGGTGGTTGTTTATTTGGGTTTCATAGTCTTAATTACTTCATCCATTAGCTTTTTTACCTCTTTGTGTCTGCTAACCACTCGGCTCATACAGTCTGGAAGTTTAGCTCCATTCAGCCCACTTCCACCTGATTTGTGAAGACAACATAGTTTTTTCCTTCCTCATCCATTACTACTGTTAAGGTTCTAGTTGCCAGATGTTCCTTCTCTCCAGTAGGGTCAACTATGAGCAGAGTGTCATCAAATACAGCAAAAGAAGTTGCAACTGGATGAGTTCTAATATTCACATAACTTTTCTTCTTTTTTTTTAATTTTTTTTTAAATTTTTTTTTTCAACATTTATTTATTTTTGGGACAGAGAGAGACAGAGCATGAACGGGGGAGGGGCAGAGAGAGAGGGAGACACAGAATCGGAAACAGGCTCCAGGCTCCAAGCCATCAGCCCAGAGCCTGACGCAGGGCTCGAACTCCCGGACCGCGAGATCGTGACCTGGCTGAAGTCGGACGCTTAACCGACTGCGCCACCCAGGTGCCCCAAACTTTTCTTCTTTAAATTAACTTCTGCTAAGGCAGTTTCTTCATTTATAGTAACTTCTGGTAGCTGTACACTTTTTTAAAGCTGCTAACAAAGCAAATGTACAGGCATCCAAGATGTTCCCATCATAGTCAAGGCAAATGATATCACAGTACAGCACCCAAGAAAGCTTTCCTGGAGAAATGCATAAGTCCTCCTTCTGAATTATCTGTGTTTCAATGACATCTGCAATGAACTGGCTAGCCACTTGGGCCTCTTGCCCAGGAGGTCCCGACCGCAATCTCGAGGAACACAGACGTGGTAGATCCACATTAGGAACAACATATCCTTTATCAGGGGCATCCGTTGGTGGTGCTGCAAATTCTGCCTTAATTCCACAAATTAGTGTAGTATTTCCCAGCTTCACTAACGTGGAACCATCTGCAGTACTAATTGAACCAATGTTGACACTTGTGGTTCTGAATTCACCAAGTTCTCCTCCATCTGGACGGCAGTGCTCATTCAATTTTCAAAATTATTCCAAACACAGGACAATTTATTCATTATTATTAATCCTCAAATAGAGAAATTCAAGTTTGCATTTATTATTTACAATATTGTCACATCTTTTGCTTTTCTAACAATCTCTCCTTTAATATATATTATTCCTAAATTTAGATCATTATTTATATTTTAGTGTTATTGGTTAAATAGTTGCTTTAGTTTCCAAAGTTTGTTGATTCAGCTTTGAGTACTAATTTGTTGTACAAAAACACTGTTTAGAATATTCTGAATCCTTGTGAAGTATAATATTTATAAAAGAACCTATTAATGCATGCATTATGTAAGCAAAGGGTTTAATACTTAAATGTGTTGTCAACAGACCTTTACTAAAGGAGATTTTAGACAAGCAGATTCTGATCTTCAAAGGTTAAAATATTCATAGTCTTTGTCCACATTTATGATGAAAAGGGAATTCTGTCTACAGAAGTTGTGTCAAGCCGAGTGGCATTAATGGTGAGTTCATTAAAAATTCCAGCTGCATCATTTGGATAAGCACTAAGCAGAGAAAGTGCTAAGGTGGAATTCTAGGACAATTGTACTAGAAAATTATAGCTTATTTGAAGGGAAAGTCATTTAGGTGACAAAGAGAACTCTGGAAATAGGATGAATATTTTTAAATCAACCCTATGGTTCACATAATCTTTTGCTCCAAATGAGTCAGTCCTATTAAATGCTAAAAATATACACATTACATTGCAATCACACCCACTTTATATCAAGTAAATTATACAATAAAAGCAATATTTTACTGCACCTAACATTCTTACACATTTTTAAAACATTAAAATGTGCTCCTATAATAAAGGCATTATCATAGGGTTGGGTTTTGTTTTTGTTTTTTGTTTTTTTTTAGAAACAGTCTCTTTACAAGGTCAAAATTAAGATTTTAATAATATTTTTCATCAAGTAAGAGTGTGCTGTCACAGATTATTGAGAAAATATTTGCCTCATTGAACTTATTGAAAGACTTAGGATAAAAGATTAATATAATAATCCTCATTATATAGATCCGATTAACTAAATATCAAATTCACTTGTCACCATTTTTAAGTTCATTCGTGTCTGTGCCTATACTTCTGTGTAATTTATCTCTTGGGAAGATTCAAGTATCTAAAACCACAATCAGATACAGAATTGTTCCATTGCCACAAGGAACTCTCTCATATTATCCCTCTATGTTTACACACTCTTTTCCCTAACCTGGAGCAACTACTGACCTGTTTTTCATTTCTATATGTTTGTCATGTGTCAAATGCTATAAACAGAATTAAACAGGTTCTTTTGTTAGATTGATGTTTAATTTTCTCTAAGTATAGTGCCTTTGGGATCCATTCTATCTGTTGCATATATCAATACTCAGTTTTTTTTATTTTGAGTAGTATTTGGTTATATGAATGTAGTAGTTTGTTTATTCACCCACTGATGGACATTTGGGTGCTTCCAATATTTAGCTCTTACAAATAAAGCTGTTATCTATCTTTGTGTAGGTATGTGTATAAACATAAGTTTTCATTTATTTAGCACATACTTTTGAGTTTCAAAATTATCTTTTATATTCTAGATAAAGTCCTTTGCTAAGTGTCTTGCAAATATTTTCAGTTTTTAGTTTGTCTTTTCAGTCCCTTAATGAGATTTTCTTTTTCTTTGCAAAATGTTTTCAATTTTAATGCAGTTTAAGTTGTCAATGATTTAAAGATCTTGTCTTTGCTGTCATAGGAAAGAACCCTTTGTCTTGCCCTAGGTCTGGGAGCTTTCTTCTATGTTTTCTTCTAGTGGTATAATAGTTTAATGTTTTACATTTTAATCATAGTCTATTTTTATTATAAAAGATATTGAATTTTATCACCAAACAATATTTTCTTTCAATTTGCTTCATGTGTTCTACAATCCTTTTGTTTTGTTTTGATCTTCCTTGCTCCATTTGGAATTAATTGTCATACTTTATTGTCTATTAGCCTCCCTGTTATTTTGGTTTCTTTTTTACTAACTCTACTGGTTACCCAAGAGATTATAATGTATATCTTTAAGATATTGAACACTCATATACATTGTTGAATTTAGGTTTGCTGATGTGAAGATATTTCATAGATAATTGAATGACTTTATGATATTTGAGCTCTTCCTGACTCATCTTCTATTGTTGTGATATATTTTAATTTTCTAGGTACTTTTAAGTAAAAATCCACAACTATAA